CCCAGCCCAGCCCAGCCCCCGGCCCACCAAATTCAAAACATGGCTCCAAAAAAAAACTTTCGGTCAAAACTCGGTCGAAACGTTTCGGTCAAAACTTTCGGCCAATTTATGGCACCCAAACCCTTAACAATTTCTATGAACCATGAACCCTGAAGCCGAAACCCTGAGCCCTTTGCGCTTTTAAGGCCGGTGGCCTCTACGTGCTCGGCACCACCCGGCACGAGTCCCGGCGCATCGACAACCAACTCCGGGGACGAGCCGGACGCCAGGTCGGCGCAGGGGTTACGGCTTTTAGGGTTTAGGGTTTAGGATTTAGCGTTTAGGGTTTAGGGTTTAGGGTTTGGGGTTTCGGGTTAAGGGTTTCGGGTTTCGGGTGAGAAGATCGTCAGCAACGACTTAATTCTGTAGTCACGAGACTCGGGATGCAGCCTTGTGAGTCACCTAGTCTAGAATTCATTTGGCGTGGCTTTTGTCCTGGGCAAAGCGCGGACACATGTCTTTCCCGGTAGAGTCGCTGCAGACCGGATGCAAAAGGGTTTTAGGTCTTGTTGTTTCAGTTCTTCGGCTGGCGCTCTTCCGGATGTGCCGACCTGGGTCAAGTGGATCCAGTTGGAGTTTTTCGAGGTTTTGCTGGATTTCTACATGCATGAAGGTCTTCTCTAAAGTCAAGGAGATGCTTTCCTCGACTTCATGACCCCAGCTATCAGGAACATCAGTTTAGCAGCTCCTTCAACAGCGCATGCGAGTGGTTAGCTCGTAAAATAGTGAAGATTGTGCTTACTTAGCCTTGAGCACATCGCCACGAGTGCGATGTGCTGCGGGGAATCTGGCCGGGCGAGCAGTATTCAAGCCTTTCTAAAAAGGGTTTTGGCGGTTTGGGGGGTTCTGGTATGTTCACATGCTTTTAGGGTTGAATAGGATTTACGTCTAGGGCAAGAGGGTTCAGGGCTTAAGGGTTCAGGTTGAATTGGAGAAGTCAATCAAGAAATGCCAGGGCGATCCTGGCACCACCCGATTCTTCATCTCTCTGCAGGAGAGGGGGCAAGCTTACACATTTTTGTTGGCCAGACCTTGAAATCCTAAAAGTCCTGTTTTGATGTTTTGTCACGTAACTGACCCTGCATCGTAGTTTCTTGACAGCCAGGAGGGAGGCAAACAACAACCCTAAGGCATGGGCTCCTTGTATTAATTTGTTTGAGGTTGTTTGACGAACACATCCATAGAAATGTTTGTTGAGCAACCTTAAAAAACGTTTCACTTCCAACCCGTTAAGCACCAAGAACCTCGCCTGGCAAGAGCGAACGCCGCAAACTCTAAGGCCCCAAACCCAAAACTCCCCCAAGCCCAAAACTCCCCCAAACTCAAAACCGATAGGACGACGTCTTCCGAGTCTTCGGCGGCGACAAGATCGAGAGTTTGATGGACTCCTGGTGAACGAGAGTTTAGACTAAGGGCACTCTGAGTTCGAAAGGATGCCATCACCCTGAGCCCTAAACTGTGCAGCTCTTGACCAGGCTTCTTTTTGGTACGGTATGGTCTTAAGAAGCAACGAAAAATTATCAGTGTCAACGACCGCCAAGAAGCCCTTAGCAACATCTCAGCCCACCATGCCGATCATCATCTCATGATGCTTGCTTCGTCTCTCCATGTCTTCACGCAAGTTTTCCTCAGTGCTCGCCGCGGTGCCTCAAAGTCGAGTATGTCGATGAAATGCTAGGCTCCTAGCCCGATGCCCAAACTCCAAAGCACGTTTTGAAAGGACCGCTTCCGGCTCGGCGACCAGATCCCGCTGCAGAGCCCCATTGCTGCTCATCGAAGATCAGCGTGGGCTCCGTTTGGAGGATCCTAATCTGAGCTACCACAGGATACCACAGGGATATGTGGCAGGCTTTATATGGTAACCTTTGGCGTTATCGGGATACACGCCGGGGTAGAGAGTACTCACAGGCTTCCCCTAGAACTTGGTCATACTTGCTCATGATGATAGCTGAAACGAATCTTGAAAAAAACAAAAGCTCAGGAGAGGCACGACTAGGGCATTTGGTCTTTAAGCACGGACTATTGAGAGAAATAGCTAGAAAAAACGAATCATGGTAAGATAAAGCTGGTGTTAGCAAGGAAAACTAGGAACAACAGAAAGGAATCGCAAAACGGACACTTCACACAAAGAATTCCAAAAAAGTGTTTATAACACGAACACGAGTAAATATCCTAATCATATTAAGCAATGATGGTAAGCGTAATATTGCCACTAATGCTAACCCTCGTCATACTTTCAATCATACAAGTTTCGAACTGTCCGAGAGTGGGCGTCGAAGCCTCAAGCTGCAAGCGCCAACCCCCAAAAAATTCCGAAAAACCAAAATTCCCCAGGCCTAAGCCCTACACCCTAAACCCTAAGCCATCCTTCTACGCTTAAGCCCCAAACCCTAAGCCCTACACTTGGAAGCTCTCCGACCCTGAGTGAATCCCGAGGTCAACGATACTCTGGACCGGGTCCAGAAGGCCGTGGAAGAGTTCTTCAAGAAGACGCGAACCACGCTCTTCGAGTTCGACAAGGCGCACCACCTGCGTCTTGCAATGGTAGTCATCATGGCTGTAATCATGAACATCGCCACAACAAGAGTCAAGAGTGATCATGTACGCACCGCAGATCCAAACAACACTAAGTCTAAGCATGGTGCGGCAGTTGATCGTGCTACTGGGCCTGTCAAAAGCGAGAATAGTAGCACTGCCCAGGATGCCAACACTATTTCTATTGTCCCTGAGAAGCAGGAATACAAGTCCTAGAAACAATCTAATATGCCACCCCCAATGCGGTAGGAGTGAGTATCCCGACAATAACACACACATAGACATACATATGTAGATATATATATATATATATGTGTGTCTTAGATGTGTCTATATATATATACACATATATGTATGTATGTAGTGCTGCTACTACGACGAAGACAACGACGGTGACTACCACGACTTACTACGACGACGACTACTAATGCTACTGCTACTGCTACTGCTACTGCTACAACAACAACAACTACAACTACAACAACTACTACTACTACTACTACTACTACTACTACTTCTACGACCTCCCCTACTAAGCGTCTCGGCTCGCAAAC